GGATCTGAAGTCAGGCAGGTACAGGAATGCACGGCTCCTCCTTAATTGCCTACTTGAGCCAAGCATCAGGGTTATGCATCAGAAAGGGAAATTTTAGGGTTTCTAGCAGGCTTTTATCCTGCTTAATAAAGATAGAAATTGTAACCAGGTTAACAACAACAAAAAAAAAAGGAAAAAAAACATATGGTTTTAGCAGAAATGATTTCCTAGACCGATCAATTACTAGGAGATGTAATGAGAAATATACTCCTTAGGGAGAGGAAGGAGGAATTTCCATTACATAATATCCCTTGGGAGAATTTCTGTATCACATAATGAGGTTGGTGATGGAGCATTTTTGGGAAATGCCTATGGATAAGAATTTGTGCATCAGATTTCCATAAACAAAATATCTTCCTGAAAAATAGGCTTTTTAAAAGTCCTCCTGGTCTGTTAGTAGGTAGTTGCTTTGCATGTGTACACATTCTTTTGTTCTGATAATTACAGTGTAAGAAACTAGGGAACTGTGGGATTCAAACTTCACACAAAATACTACATGGTCGTCACTCATTTCCATATGTATTTAATGCCAAAGAGAAAACACTGACGGATTAGGCTCCTAATTTTGGCTTTGTTAAATTATTTCTGCTTATCTATTGAAAGGTGGGTCTGATTGATGGATTTAACCCTAGTGGTGTAAACACAGATGATCTTCTGCTCCTGCCGGTGAATGTAAAATACATAAAAATATGTATACGTGATCTTGTGTGTTTAATAAGCCTAGGCAGGGAGCTGGATGTGCTTTTCACGGTGCTTGTAATCTCCTAAGAATTGCTGCTTTTTAGCTGCAGAAGAGAGCGCTTGCAAAAATTCCCCTAAATGTGTCCTTACTGTTTCAGTAGCAGTTGCTTTCAACAGGAAAATAATTCATTTCCACACACCCGCCCTCCTGACTCCAGCGTTTTTATTGTTTAAAATCTGAGGAGAGCTTTTAACCTTCAGGAACTGAAAATCGAGCTACCTGGCAAAGCCGCTGTCAGATTCGAGCTTAAAGGTGTCAAAACCAACAGAGGAAAAAGATGAAAAATCTTAACACCTCTGTCACTGATGGGGAATTTGTTTAGTCTGAGCTGCTCGTCTAAAGCCTCCGTGCTAGCGGTTCTTGTAATTTTTAGAGTGGTTTGTCCAGCTTTTTCTTCCCCTCCCTGGAGTTACAAATGTGCTTCCGCTTTGCTTATTTTGCCGAAAATCCCGGTTGCTGCTCCGCCGGCTCCGGCAGAGGAGGGAGCGCAGTGACCCCTGATGGTGGCTTTGGTAATTGAGGCAGATTTGTACAATTACAACTATTTTTAGCAAGTTAAAGGTGCAATGGCTGTTTTGAAGTCCAGGCTCCTATTCGAACATTTCATTGATAATATTTTGTAGTATTTTGCTTGCCACCTTGTGGCTGCTAAGGGCCACTACAGCATTGAGCCTGGTTTCGTAGGGCGCTCGCAGTTCCGCGTCTTCCCGAGGGTTTTATTCTGTGGCCCGGCCGGTGCCCTTTTCCCGTTCTCATTCACAGCCCGGTCCCGCGGCTGGGAGGTTCTTGCAGTGCGAACCCGGGTGGCTGGCGCTCGCCGATCCCCTTGGGTTGCTTTCCAAGTTCGCGGCAGGGCTTGGCTTTCCTAAAAGGAGGAGCGTGGCGCTGGGTTTGAGCCCTGGGAGTTTGCATGGAGGAACTGGTGGCGTTTCCGTATCCCATAGGAAAGGGCAGCAGCAACGCGGCCGAGCGCGCGGTGGCTGGTGGCGCTGGAAGGGCTCGCCGGCTGGTGTTGGTGTTGAGGTGGTGGCCTTCGTCCCTGCCCTGTGTCGTCACCCTGCTGGAGGGCTTCTTACACATGCAGATCAGTGCATTAACCGTCTCGCACTCTCTGCTTCGGCGCAGGAGCATCTCTCGAGGTAGCTAATGTGATTTTACCTGGCAAAAATGTGACCCCGCAATTGTCAGTTCTTGTAAATCTAAACCAAGATCACCCTATTGGCATGGAAATAGAAAAACAGGTTCCCCAGAGCGACTGTTTTACTTACATGGCCACACTGAAAAGGCTAAGATAAATAAAAGGTGTCATCTTTAATACTGTAAAGATAAACCCTGCTTCCTGGTGGGTGGCGGGGTAAGCGGAAAGTTAGAGTTCACATAAAGAAAGCATTGCAGAGCTGCAGGTCATGCTCTTGGCAAAGATAAGAGTCTCTCATTTTATAAAAGAGATATTTCTTTTTGTAAATGACTTTTAAAAATTAAAAGTGTGCAACCTAGTTTACATTCTTGTGGAGAGAGCGTTACAGCTAAATCGCCCTGGGAGGCAGCTGCAAGACTTTTAATCCTGAATTCACGTGAGCTGGGTCAGTTGTTCGGGGTGTGTTTGTGAGTGGAGGAAGAACCTGTGCCTGGACACTGTTTCAGCAGCAACCGGCTTTACCAAAACAAAAACAAATGCATGGTAGCTGCAAATCCTTATTCTTTTCCCTAAATAATCACAGTGAAAAGATAATGTTTAGGCTGCTGAGATGCCTGCAGGTAGATCCTCGCTCCAGGGCTGTGGGCTGTGGAGTTACAGCGGAGCCTGTCTCCAAGATGGTTGGAAGTGCTGCACAAATCCCGGGAACACACACACACACGCCAAGGGCACACCCTAATCCCTTTATGTTCCTTCTTCGGTGCAGATTACGCAGCAAGAAATAATTAGGAGATTAATTTTCACCTGTCACTGCCAATAATAGATAACCTTGGTAGAGCGGCAGGGCTGGGGGCTTGGGGCAGGGAAAAGCGGTTAACGCCGCAGCGGTGACTGCAGGACCGGGCGGAAAACGGTGCCGCGGAGGTGACCCCCTTGCCGTGCCCGGCACCGCGGCAGCCGCGGCTTTTAATTCCGATGCAGCTCGTTTGCTTTCCGTGCTTGCAATTCCCAGCCTGCCTTGTATTCCTGCCCTGCGAGCGAAGGGAACAAACTAATGAAGATGGCTTCATTAGGCAGAGTGCAATTTAGCCCTTGTCTCTCTCCAGCAAATGCATCTGAAAAAACATCCCAGAAGTATCCAGGCTTTCGGCCTTTAGAGAAGGCAGAACCGAGGTGTTTGCGCTCCATTTCAAAATTAATTACCAGCTCGCATCAGGTGAGCTTAAAAGTGTAGCCTGTGCTCTAAGGCAGTGAAGGTAAATGGCAAGGGAAAAAAGCCACCCTTCCTCCTCCTTTTTTATTTTTTTCTTTTATGCTGAAGTTTAAATCTACAATCTGTTGAAAATGTAATGGGAAACCAGCCTACAGAAAATGCCATTATTCATATCATCCTGAGCTCATTTATTTTATCTGCAATAGTAATGATAAGACAGGCTGCTTGGCAATGCTGATAAGCTGGGAAATATCTTAGAGCTATTTGTAAAAGTTAAAGCAGATCTTGGTACTGAGAGATAGGGAAACTGATGAGCCTTTGGGCAATCTGCAGAGCTGAAAGCTAATAAAGATTTTTAATAGGAAGGCCTCATTAGGATTAGGGAGAAGATCTATTATCTGGGATTTACACAACACAAATGGTGGGGCAACTTTAATTTTTGCCTTTTTTTCTGTTCGTAAAATGCTGCTGCTGAACGTGAAACCTCTTGAATGTGATGCGGATCTGTGCGTGCGCGAGGAGCCGGCGCGGCCGGCGGCGGGAGCAGTGCAGGCCCCTCTCTGTGGTGGCCAAGGCGTTCGGCAGCGCCTGGCCTGTCTGCCCTGTGGGCTTAGCGGGCTGCGAACGCCAGGCTGGAGCAGGGGCTGATTTTGTGGTCGCGGTCGCCTTCAGGACAAGCTGTTTCAGTGCAGCTGGCGTTGGCATGAGCAGAGTGCCACGTCCCGTGCCATGCGAGTAGGTCAGCAGCCCGGTTATCCATCGGAGCTGAGCTTAAGCACCCACGGCCGCAGCACCGAGGCGGCTGGTGCACAAAACCTCCACTTTTTGAGGACGCCCAGTGTGCAGAGGCACCTACCACGTATGGGTCCAGCTCTGCCCCGCGTGCTTAGCGCAGTACGTAAAGTGTGTGTAAGCAGCTCAGAGTATTAGTTCATCCAGGCTTTGCAGATGTGTTTAATAACTTTTCCTTAAGGACCATCCAGACTTCTTTGTGGTTGAGCAGGATTGTAAAGCAGTAATAAAGCCATGCTGGAACATTCTCTGGTTTGCTTTTGAGGTCCAAGCTATGTCGTAACCTGAGTCTGCTAACCCAGAGTTTAAACCATTTTTACACAAAGCTGATTAAATCTAGTTAAACCCCAGAGCAGATGAAGGTTTCTGCTAGGAAAGATCCATGCTGGTTGTGCGAAGCACTTGTGTGACCACAGCGGTGTTTAGAGTCAGCCCCGTTAGGCCAACGGGACTGGAGTTTGCCAGGTTTCTTCACTGGGTGGACACGCACTCATGCGAGTGTCTCAGCCTCTGGGACCAGCTCCTCTTCTGCTGTTGGATCAAATAACCTTAATGGTAACTGCAGCGTAGCATTGCTTCCATGGAAGAGTAGTGTTAGGAGAGTATGTTCTTGTGTTCTTAGTCATCTTTAATATGATGTAGCCGCAGAAAGCCGAAGGGGAGCAGCACCGTGAGCCACGAGGAAGTCTATTCCAGGCCATAGTTGGGGAGCCGTTCATCTGAACCCATGGTTTGATAGGACCCACAGTGGCCATGCAATGTTAGGCTGAAGCTGAAATATTCCATCCTTCATTTGCTTGAGGAACTTGCCCTGCTGCAGCTTCTACTGTCCTGCCCTGCGCCCTGGCCGCACGTAGGCCCGTGGGCAGCCTGGCAAGGCCGGCACCAGAGCAGGCCCACGGCGTGCAGCTATTGCGGCCTGCCCGTAACCAGTCACAGTTTGTGCCAGAAAACCAGCATGGCCTTCTAAAGAGCTAGAGCTATTTGCACGTAACATGTTGCTCCACGAGGCTGCCATTTGAGACGCTTCTGATGTTTACGTTTGATGTGAATGAAACTTTTTGTTTTGTCTGTAGACCTCAACGGAACTGGAGCTGACTCGTATCAGGAGTGCCTTGATAACAAGCAAGGTATGAGCTCAAGTCTCTCCAACATGGGCACTTGGGACTGATTTAGCTTGATTTCCTGCAGCTGAATTGGTTGCTGTCTCTGTCTCTCACCCTTGCTGTCTCTCTTTTTTTTTTCTCTCTCTTTTTTTCCTCTTTTTTTTTTACTTTTGCTGTCTCCAAGCCAATTCACTGTTAACAGCTCCACATCAGCTAACCTGTTAGCTCAGGGTCTCATTACACACTTGTGATAAGGCTTCCAGTTTCTTCCCCAAATCCTCTTACGAAGAGCGGAAGTGGGGAGGTTGTAAAACAAAAGCAGCATGTGAATTCACTTGCAGTTACTTTCTTTCTTGCAGTTTAATTGCAGAGCTAAGCAGAAAAATATTGCAGTGAGTGGAAGTCTTGTGCTAGGCCGGGTGCCTTAACACCAGGCGTTCGGTGACGATTTGTACGGTGACAGCCTCGTTCAGGGCTGTCCAGCTGGCTGGCTGCTCCTGTGGCAAAGCTGATGGGAGCTGCATAGGTCCCCTGTGACTTACAAGGGGGTAGTGGAGAGGAATCTGTTGTCTTTTAAAATTCAAGAGTCATCTTTTAAATGAAACATTTAAAAGTATATCAGAAACAGGACCTAAAGCCTTGGGTATTGGTTCTGCGTTTAGAAAAAGTGTTGGT